TTTCCCTCATTTTTGAGTTGATATCAGAGCGTTTGATCCTTTAAATTTTTTGAACCCTTCAAAGTCTATACCTTGAAAAATATCTGAGATAGATTTGTCTGAGACAAAGTTGTTTGAGATTCCATCCATCCCTGTTATTGCTAAATCGGTAGAAGTTTTCAATGCTGGAATCATCCTTTCAAAATCAAACTATGAGATCTGGTCTCATTTCATGGAGATGCACATTGTTGAGCGAGAGAAACTTTTTTATATTCATGACAAGACAAAGCCGCCAGTCGAATGTAAAGATAGATATGAAAAGCGGTATGTTGAAAACCATAAGGTGAAGAGATGGTTGCTGATGTCTGAGGCAAAAATCATGAAGCGGTATATACGCATACCCACCGCTCAGGAGATTCGGAGTGCATGTCAAACGTCTAAACTCAAAAACTTCTTACTATAAACTTTTACACATACACTAGGTTCTCATGACTTGAATCTTTTGATAAGTGATGCAAAAAATAGGATGAAATATTTGACTTTGAGATGATATGATATTTTGACTTAAAATTAAGTGATTGGTTGAAAATTCTCGAACATCTTAAACTTTATGTTTAATTGAATTTTAATTCTTGTTTTTCTGCATAGGTATAACATGTAGTTGCATCATTGTATTAGGATTTTTTGAGTATATTGATTTAAAGGTTTGTTGTACATGTTAAGTGCAATTGTAATTTTGTACGAAAGTAAATTAAGTTTTATTTTTGTTTTATTTTTTATGATTATTATTATTGTTGTTATTTTACTCAATGATGATCAAAACTTATATTTAAGAGAGTTTGATAAGTTGGAATTTCATATGTATTGATGTGAAATTTTTGTTTTAATATTATTGATAATTGAATGAGTTTTATAAGATTTTTCATTATTTTATATAATTTGCATTTTGTGTAGAAATGGATTTAATTAGAAGAAATTATAACTTTTACTGCAAAGATCAGAAAGCTGAGGATTAAATTTCACAAAAACTAGAAGCTATGGACCAGTTCTGTTATTTTACCATTAACCAAAATTCCTTTTTTTCTTTTTCTTTTTTTCTTTTTTTTTTTTTTCTTTTTCTTGATAAACATTAACCAAAATTCTTAAAAGGCCGTAAACCCGACACGAATTTTTCATTCAGCAATTTAGCAAAAGCATGACACCTTATTTGGAGGATCGACCCATAGGGCAATGTCAGCGAATCCGCGGTCAGTGCTTGTTGTTTTGGTGTAGGTTGTACGTCTATGCCAATTGGATTTTCTACATTTTTATGAATATTTATCCAAAATCAGAATTGAGGAGAGGCTTTAGCGAGGCTTTTGATAGACTTTCTTGGAGCACACTTAAAGATCAAGTTAGGAGTGATAAAAATTTATCAATAATAAAAGATTAACCAAGTTGTTATCTTTAAATTGAATTTTGTTTGTTTATTTTATTTTTTATTTTGATATAGATTATTGGTTCATAAATATAAATTTAATTTTTAATATTTTTTATATTAACCTTCCGGTATTCGATAACTATATTAAATCCCAACTAATACGGAATCAAGTTGTATTAGATCTCATTAGGGGAAACTCTCCCAACGCCTGTTTCTTAATTTATAAGATTCAAATTTGAAACTTTATTTAACGGAAACCGAACTCCTCTCACTCGAAACAACAAGGCGTTGGTAATTTTTAATATTTTTATTATGAATTAATTTCGTTAATTAAGATTATGATGTAGTCTAATTAATTTGATATAGATTCTTTGGATTTTTATATTTTCAATATTATTATTTTTTGATGATTATGTATTATTTTTCTTAATTTTTTAATATTTGATCACCATTAAAATTGATTTGAAGACTATAATTGAGATTGAAAGGAGATTTTATGCAATAACTTTTAATAATATATATCATAAATTGAATAAAAATTAGAGATGAACCAACATGATTTGTGTAGTATTATTGATAAATGGATTTAATTTTTGTAAGTAAACTAAAATATTTCATAGATTATAATATATTTTTATTTATTTAAATTCACATAAAAATATAATAAGTTAATAAATAAAAATAGATTCGGTATAATTTAAAAAGTACATCCAATAAAAAAAAGAAATCACACTATTACATGAGTAGTAAAAATATTGAAAGCATAACAATTTGAAATATATGTTGGTTGATTACGGTGACATAGAATATCTTAATACCTTATATTTTAGTTGACTTTATTTTAAATTGTTATTTTTCATAATTAGTTTTAGTTAGAAATTCTTCCTTTTTAATTGTTCAAATAATTTTAGAATTAACTTTTTAGTATTTAGTTAGTCATTCTCTTTGTGGAAATGATATTTTATCCATCACTTTATTATTTCGGCAACTTGTA